AGCCAGAGGGCATGCTTATATTTGAATGCCATGCCTGGAAATGCATCAAGCAAGCATTTAACAACCTCAAGAGGACCTGGCCTGAGTGTCTTGTCTACTGTATAGGATTACTGAATAGAAAGATGGAAAGGAGGAATTGTGGAATTAGGTTTCTTCAGAGGAATAAAACCCAATAATATAGAGAGACTTTGTTCTGAGATTTGTTCTGTAGTTATGGAGTTTGACAATCCCATAGTATGTGTGTGGAAACCAGAGGAGTGAGAAAGCTTGTGCTATGTGTCACTTCTAAGTGCCAACGCCTGAGAATCAGATGTGCTTTGGGGAGGGCTGTGAGAGCCAATCCTAGGATCTGGGTGCTCTAAGACAAGAATGCTTCCATCCCAAAATAGAGAAAGATGTTATCCCAATTCAAGAAGAGACAGTAGTTTGATTTGCCCTTTCCCTATCTTTTTTTTTTTTTTTTTTGGCTTTACTCAAACAGGTCCTTAATAGACTGGATAATATCTGCTAACAGTGGTGAGGGAGATCATTTTTACACAGTCTACTGTTTGGAAGGTTAGCCTCTCCTGGAGAGACTCACACCCACACACTTGGGATGTTATTTTCCAGCCATCTGGGCACCGTTTAACTGATTAAAGTTGACACATAAAGTTACCATCACAGTATGTGACTATAAAGCTGAGTTCATCAGCCCACCGCTGGACGACTTGTCATGGGAGATGAAAGAATGAAGCAATGAGTCCGTTGAACTTTTTCCCTAAAAAACTGAAGAGGGCAGAAATGTTGACTGAACCAGCTGAAATTTATTATCCCAGACTTCAAATCTTGTTTTGAGGGTTCTCTGAGTTTCTATGGATCTCTGCTTCAATAAAGTGCTGACCTTGCAGTTACCCTTAAGGATGTTACCAGAAGAACCTTTCCACAGCTCGTGTTTGATTTTTTATAGCTCTCATTAAATTCTCTGAAGTCTACTTTTAGTTTTCTTGGCCTTATGCACAAATCTTTTTATCCAGCTAAGGCCAGGTTTCCTTTTGCCACATAGTTCAGCAGGTCAGGCCCCACTGGCTTCCTAACACTGTGCAGTGCAACTGCTGTCTGTGTGGCCATGTTCAACTCTGTCTTCTCCGTGCTCCAGCGGGGCTGCTCCCCTGGTCTGGAACACTGTGCTGTGTTAGTTACTTTTCTCATTTTTGTGTCACAATACAAGTCAGAAACAAGGGAGCGAATATTCATTGTGGCTCGTGATTGGGCTATAGGCCATTATGACAGGGAAGGCATGCTGGAGAACCATAGGCGTGGGCGTGGCTGAAGTTGGATAGCGGGAGCATGAAGTGGTGGCTGGAGAACAGGGAAGGCACACAAGTATAACCCATACACTCCCCCAGTGCCCCACCTGCTCCTAGACCCTACTTTCTGAAGTTTCTATAACTTCCCCAAACACCAATTGGCTGGGGGGTGGGGGGAGCAAGTATTCCAACACCTGAGCCAGTGAGGGACATTTCCCATTCAAATCACCCAACATTCTCCTCCCTCCTGATGAGCCACCCCCACTTCCTGGTTAGGGTTAGTTTTTGACCGTCGAGGCTCTCCTAAGCCACTGTCAAGGTGATGCTGTTTTACGAAGGTTGGTTAGCTCTTGAGACAGTGGACAAGACAACAGTCATGGCTCCACATGGAGCTGTTTGCCTCTTGCTTTGAATAAGTCACACTCCTGCTGCAATCTCCTGTTGCCAAGGCCAAACACCATTCCTGCTTTGTGTACTGAAATCCCCTAAACCACAAACCAGTGGTGAGAATGGACACGCCCACTCTCCCAGGGTTGTAGACAGTCCCCTACAGTGCTCCCAGCTCCTAACAGACCCCTACTAAACATGTGCTATTGCAGTGATATTAGATTGTCTGCTACATCTCCCCATATTGTCTCTTTGAGCCAAAAGTGTGGTGTTCATTTTAGTTTTTCCAGTGCTTAGCATATCTCCTAGCATAAGATAATTAGTTAATAAATATCTATTAATAAACATAAAAGTAATGCTTGGATTTGTGCAGAAGCTTGTATTTGCTCTTTGGCTGATCTATTCCTGGTGTTTTTCAGACCATAACTGTTGTTCCTTTTGGAAACTACAGCTCCCAGAATCCTCCCGGACAGGCGCAGGACACTTCTCCCAGGAGCCCTTGCCTTCCCATTAAAAGCGGGTCTCCACAAGCCCCTGCTCTCTTTTCCCTTCCACCCTCTTGTGTCAGCACACCTGTACCTTACCTGTTGCTACCCCTCCCCCATTAAAGTGCGCCCACGTGGGACCCTCGCGTGTCTGCGTCTCCTTCCCACCCCGCTCCGCCATGCGTGTTTGTGTTTGTGTCTCCTTCTCGTGTTCGTCTCCACTCTCCACTCTCACCCGCTTTAAAAAGAATAACAATAACATCCTCAGCAGGGTGGGGAGGATGAAAACAGAGGAAGGACAACCTGAAGGAAAGGGCGTCCAGAGGTCCTCTGGCCTCAGCCAGGGCATAATCTGAGTTTTCACTCTCCCGGCACTCAACAGGGTAGGGTAGTCCCTGTAGGCCAGGGGCTGCAAGGAAGGGGCTGTAATCATGACTGCTGTCACATTGCTAGCCAGATATTAGCAGACTTAAAAGTTCTTGAGGGTATCCTTCCTTTTATGTCAGCACCTTGTAAAAGCAGGAGGTTTTATCTCTGGTGTCTGGTGGAGAAATGGCATTCTAAACTGCCGGGAAGATTATAAGGTTATTATGTTGAAGGCATAAGTCACGAACAATGCCACACCAGTTTGGAGTTATGATTATTAATAGGGTGTTATTTATATAAAGGGGAAAAAACTTACAGATCACCGTCCCAGACAACAGCCATCTGCATAACCAGGAAGGGAGTCTAGTCTCCGGCAGAGCAGGAAGTGAAGAGAGAGAGCAGAGGAAGTAGCCGCTTTTTTAAAGGGAGAGAGACCACGCCCCAATGGGCTGGTATCACAGCAGCTATTGGTTGGAGGGGCGGAAGGACCTCCCACAACATTATGTAGTGGAAGGATTTCTGGTAAAAACAAAATCATGCAACTGATATTGCATTGTCCCCTGAGAGTTAATCATTGCACTCCCTCCCCCACCTCAAGAGTTAGTCTAAAGGGCCTGTTAATCATCTAGATGAGAAGATGCCCTTCAAGAAGTACTCTGCTTCAGAAACTTTTAAGACATTTTAAAAAGCATGCCTGGAAATGTAGGTTGGAACACGGGTCTTCATGTCCACTGTTCACTCTCACCCCTTGAGAGCTTTTCCCTTCTCTATCGTCTTCCAGGCCACCGAGATGTTCAGTCTCATCCTTTGAGTGTTTTCTTCCACAGTGGTCTCTCTGTCCACTGTCCACTTTCACATCTTGAGAAACAGCCCACTTTACCTTGTAATAAACTCCATCTGTCTTCTCCCCTACACTGTGTGTCTCACCTGAACTCTTTTGCATGAAACACAATGACTAGGAAACTGAGGGAGGACAGAGAAAGATTATACTAACATTCTCACTTCCAGCATTCTGGGTAGAGCAAGAAGACTCAGAGGGGCCTTGAGAAATGTACTGGAGAGTTAATTTTGCCAAACTATCACATGGTTTTCCAGTGGAAAAGAGCTGAAGATTAAAAATCAAACATTCAGAGTCAAATTTGCCCCAAGATTTGGTAGAAAAATCCGTGTTCTCATGTACGACAATAGTGTTCTGGCTTCCATTAGCAGTGCCTTCCCAGGTCACTAAGAAGGTGAAGATGCTTTTGGGATTAGTGAGCCCAGATCTTCCTTGGACAGACTTCTTTTGGCTATAGAAAGGGCTCTCTGGGGGCAAGCAGGTAGAGGAGATGATGGAGCGCTGATGCAAGGACACATTCTTACTGGGTGAAGTTATTACTGGGTCCTTGGGTGTTTGCTGAGCAGTTTTCTTGGCAGCTCTCACCTGGGAAGATGATGCTAAACCCCAGGATCCAAATGTCCAAGGAGGACAGACCCCAGCCCATTCAGTTAGGGCTTACTGTAGACTGAGCTGGTATATTCACTAAGAAAAAGAATTCTGGAGGAATGCAAGCCACACTAAGTGTCGATTTCCTTCGGCTTCTCTTTTATGTAACCTACCTATGCCTGACTCATGGTAAGCTATGCAACAAATCCTCACTGAGTGCAAGTTAAAACCGAATCCTCAGAGATCATTACTTGTATAAATCAGCTTTAATCCGTCACATCTCCTCTGTTTCTTAGTGGCAAGTTCGCTGTTGTTAAGAAACCAAGCTGTGTGAAAGCTGTCAGTTCGCGGGTGAAGGGCTGTGCTGAGCACATGGGTACCATGCTCATAAATGCTGCCACTTCCCCCAGAAGCAAGGACAGCTAAGAGGATGTGGTCACGGATCCTTAGTTTAGTTCCTTGGTTTAGTTCTTACCAACCCAACTGAATAAGTTAGGCCTTGTTTTGTTTTGTTTGAGACAGAGTGTAACAGTGTAGCCCAGACTTCTCTAGAACTCCTTATGTAATGGATGTCGGCCTCAGATTTGAGCCCGTGCTCCTGCTGGAGAGAGCAGGGATTGCAGGCAGGGCCTCCACCCCTAGATGGGTTTGTTTTAAATCACAGGCGGCTCTTGGACAGCGAGCCCTACCCTCTCACATCTTTCATCGCCTTGATATTTTTCTTCTCTAATTTGCTCAAGACTTTGCCCTTAGAAGCTCAGTGTGGACAGGCATAGACGCTGGTCTGGGCACAGCAGCCCCGTCCTACAAGCGTGCTGGGAAAGGACTAAGGGAAGCTTTATGTTGTTTTCCTTTACTCAGTTTTTATTGATGTGGAAGTTAGACTGGAAGCAAAAGCCACACCGATTTTTCTTCCCAGAAAACATGTTTAAAAAATGTTCTAACGGCTCCGTGGGAAATGTTATTTTTCAAATGATCTGTTTCTGAAAGAGCAGCGCGATTAGCTTTTCTGCAGCATTGCTAGTAGGCCTCCTAAACTCCCCAGGAAGAGCATTATGGGGATTGCTCCCCAAAGGTGCACTTGATTTAAGCACAGTTCCAAATAACTAAAAACATAACACGGCGACGAATGAAAATTTGACAATTTAGTTAAAATAAAGGGTCTTATCTAGAACACAATGGGAGTATAAAAGAGAATTGCAAAAATAATAACTCTGGAACTCGGAATGATTTTTACAACTTTTCAAGTTTGGTCTCCTCCAAATGGGCAAATATGAAAGGAACTGGAGAGAAGAAAACAAAAGGGAAGTGAAAGACTTGTCCTCCTTAGAAGAAAATACAACGGCATGGAGAGAGCAGACGGCTTCAGAGGTTCCACTCGGTGATTTAGGCAGACTCCTAAGACCTTCCCGGTGTTGCCTGGAGGCTGTGGCACAGTGACAAACCTGTCTGTGCAGCAGTTCCTAGAAGGCACTTTCGCAGGAGCAGGCCGGCAGTCTGGGGCGCGGCGGGGGTGGACGCTTGCAGCAGCCCTCGTCCCGCTCCTCCCTCCGGGCGTGGTGATAGTGGGGGTGGGGCCAGCGGTGGCGGTGGAGTGCCTGGTGGTCCCCAGCCCCCTCGTTGATCTCGGCTTCTCCCTCCCGCACGCAGCACACAACTCCCAGGCGCCTCTGTAGCCGCCGCCAGAGCCCGCAGTCGCCCGCCTGGAAGAAGAGGTAGACGAAAGGGTTGAGGGCGCTATTGGCCACCTCCACGACGCGCATCGCCACCGCTAGGCCCTCTACCTCCCAGTCACCCGCAGGCCCCGACGACCAGGCGGCGGCCAAGCGGGAGGCGAAGTAGGGCAGCTCGCAGCCCACGAAGAGCAGCGCCAACGACAGACTCATTTTCAGGCTCTGCACCTTGGCGCGGGGCAGCGCACTGGGCAAGGGGGCTCGGGCCGGACTGGCGGACCAGCGTGCCCCAGCCACCGAAGCCTGAGACCCGCGCTGCCACCATGCACACAGCAGATGGCCGCAAGAGACACCCATGATAGCAACCGGCGCCGCGAAGCCCACGACAGCTTCGTAGAGAGCGTAGACCTGCAGATGCCAGCGCGGCAGAGGCGCGAAGATGCCACAGCAGCGATGCTCCCCCGGCCAGGCGCTGGCGGCCCGAGGTTGGGGAGCGCCCCAGCGCACCACAAAAGTCGGCGGCAGTGCCAGCAGCAGCGCCAGCAGCCAGCCCAGGGCAGCCAGGGCGCGCGCGGGCAGCTGCGGACCCTGCGGACGGCGCACGGCGAGCTGGCGCTCGAGGGCGATGAGCGCCACCAGGTGGGCTGAGGCGCCCCGCCCAGATGCCTGAAGCAGCTGCGAGAAGCGGCACGCCAGGTCGCCCAGAGCAGGACGCGGGTCGCCCAACAGTTCCCAAGCCAGCTGCGACAGCGCAGTGCCCCCGCACGCGTACAAGTCGGCCGCTGCCAGCTGCACCAGCAGGAAGTCCATCTTGCGACGCTTGGGACCCGGCCAGAGCCGGCTGCTGCCGCCGCACAGGCGACACAGCACGGTGGTGTTGCCCGCCACCGCGGCCACCAGGATGATTCCCATGAAGACCAGGTGGATCGGGTGGTTGGGTGGCCCGTGTGGCGGCGGCTGCGGTCCTGGGACAGAGGCCTCCTGCCCCAAAGTCAGGTTAAGATCCCTGCTCTGCAGGATGGCTACGGAGAGGTTAGGCGCCAGAGGCTGAGCTGAGGTGCTGAAGGAATCCTCCATCCTTAGTCCGGAGGAAGGAGAGGAACCGCTGAAGGCGGTTCTCGCTTAAAATGCCAAAGTGGAGGCGCTGAGAGGTTTCACAGGCCGCACCGCTGGGTCTCTGCGACTTCCCAAAGTTAGTTGGGAAAAAAAAAAAAACACGCATCCGGGGCGATATAGATTCGGGTGGAATTGTGCTTAGTTGTTTTTTATAGTTGTCCTCGTCATTTGTCACTCAAATGTGGGTTGTACATTCGAGGAACACACATGATCACTATTCTCCACCTTCTCAACATGTCGCCCCCTCCTCCAATCCCAGCAAAGCTTCTGCTCATCCATGATGCCACCTCTGGGCTCTGGAAACCTTGCCCTGCAACGTACAGCCAGACAGAAAGTTCCGTGTGTGGCTTCTGCCGAGACTAGTTCAAGTTATCCCTGAAGCAATACAAGAGATAGGAAGCTCCTGACTGAGAGTGTCCTTCCCCCTAAAAAAGTGATTTCTAGCAGAAAAAAAATTACTACTTTTGATTTTTTTTAAAGAAAAAAACAGAAACATTTTATAAAGTCACAGGTCCGCACTTGCTAGAGAAATGCAAGGACACAAGCAACCCATCAGGGTTCCTCATTTCCCCCACTCCCAGTCCAGCTGGGCACCAGCGCAGAGCGCAGAGCGTATGCTAGGCAAGCAATCTACTACAGAGCTACACCCAGCTGCTAACAGCAGTAATGACTTTTTGAGCAGAGTGAATCTTTTTGACTAGGTGAATCTTTGGTAGGGGCATACCTTCCTTTGCCTGCAATGAGAACGGTTTAATTGGAGAGAACCAAGGGCCTTACTGTTGCCTGGCAATTAGGAACAGCAGAGGTTTGCAGCTTTCCAAAACTCACTAGAAGCACAGATGACGGCGGCTCTCCTCCAGGGATGTACCCATTTTGTTAGTCTGAAGAGGGCTCTAATAGGTTTTTATACAAATGATGGTTCGCGTATTGAGTCCCCCTAGTATCTCCATCAGCGAGGGATGTGTCATCAAGGCTCCTCTTTCTCTTGATTCTGTTTTCTAGCAGATGGGAGGTTGCTAGGAGGGACTACGCCTCCAATAAAGCCTAGAGAAAAGGTGACTAAGAAAATGCTACTGCGGCCAATTTTTAAAAAAGAAATCCAACTCACAGGAAATGGTTTAGATTTAATGCTGCTGCTTTTAGCCATGCTTCACAAACAAATTTCAGTTTTCCCACTGGAAGCATCATTTGGTCTTTTGTGCACCCATCACATTCATCACCGTGAAAGCGGAATTTCTTGTACTTCTTGGTCTTGGGCCAGGGAAGTGTGTGTGTCTGCTGCTTCCTAGGCTGCAGCAACGTTTGCAATCTGCAGAGGAGGGCTCGGTAGGGTAAAGACCATCCTGCCCATTGCTGTGGGGATCTCGATGCCTAAGGTCTATCATTTTGACTGGAGACATTTGTCATAGTCATTATACACCCAGTGCCTCATGCTGGACTGGACATATGATAGATATCAGTAAATATGTGTTTAGCTGATGAATTAGTAACTATATAATGCATGTCAGGTAACTTTGAGCAAAATTCTAGTCTTGACTATAAATGTATCATGTAGATGCCTTTTTTATTTGTACCAGTATCATCCAGAGGAGCCCCAGGAAGACCAGAGGGTATGTGGATGGTGATGTCTTTGCTGGGGCTTTGAAGAAAGCGGCAGAGTAACACCAGAGGAGACTTTCAGTCCTAATTTGATTTTCATACTCTTTCCTCACAGAGTTTGTTCAAGGCGTTTTCCTGTGCACCACACAGTCCAATCTTTCCTTCTGAACAGTGTAGGACAGCCAATGACTCTCCTACAAATCCAGTTCAGTATTTCTCAAATTTTGTTTGTGGGAATGCTCTCACAAATTACAAAGCAAAATTCTAGCACTGAAACTGCATTCCACAGAACTTTAGAAAGACTTGATAAAATATTGATAAAAAACCAAAAGCAAAGAAAGAGTTGTTTTCGAGCTGCTCAGACTGCCAGAGTAGGTTGTGGTCAAAGAGTACCCATGGGACAAGTTGACCCTGACCTTCTCCCTGCATGAAGATTTTTGATATCACCTAATACCTGGTGGTACTGAAACAGCGAACAGGGTATTAGGACATGCACTGTATGCACTCAGCCCTTGTGGGGGGCAGAAAGTGCTGGAAAGAACCGTGTCTCATGTGTGAACAGGGTAGCAATGGCATGGGATAATTCCCTGATCAACTGCATGAGTGCTATGCTCCACTGTTTGGTGAAGGAATTTTAACCTGTGCACCACCTTCAGAGCCTCCATTGAGGTTTCTTAACCAAACTAATATTTCACTGGCACCTTTAATCTGATATATTGTATTTTTTTCCCTGTGTGACCTAGTTTCCCAGGGATGTTCATTTCTACCTATTTATTTGGCTCCTGGCTGTAGAATCAAAGAAATGATCAGAACCTGGAAAAGGTAGGTGGAATCACACATGCTAATAGCTATCACAGAAGTTGCTGGATATTTAGAAAAACTTTTGGATGGGCCCAGAGGTGCAGGTGGTGCTGTTGTCCCAACTTGTGGACAGTTTCAAAAAGGAGAGTGGAACCTAGACAGTGATGAATTGTAGGGATAGTTTGTTTGTGCTTTAACAAATGAAGCTTGCCTGAAGATCAGAGTGCAGAGAGCCACTAGTTAGCCAAGGAGGCCAGGCAGTGGTGGCGCACACCTTTAATCCCAGCACTCAGTAAACAGAGGGAGAAGGATCTCTGTGAGTTCAAGGCTATCCTGGGCTACGTGAGATTGAATCTGTTTCAAAGCGAAACAGAGATCACTCAAAGGTGATGTAGCACTTGGGATCCCAGCACTAGAGTGACGTGGTGGGTGGAGAGAGGAATATAAGGCAGGAGGAGACAGGAGCTCAGTGCAGTCTGAGGATTTGTAGACAGGATCGCCCATTTGGTCTGAGCATTGGTAGAGGTAAAGACCCTCTAGTGGTTGGTGCTGTTCTTCTCTGATCTTTCAGTATTAACCTCTAAATAAACGCCTAGATAAACTCTGGGGTTTATTTATTAAGACCAGTTAGAATTCATGCTACGATGAATGACTGGAGATGTCTTTCTCTTCTAAGGAAACCTTGCTGGGGTCAATACCTTGACATTTCAGCAGACCAAGCATAATCTCATGTTTCTTCACACCATCAAGGTACCCATGGTAACAAAGGATTCTGCTATGACTCTTGTCCCTTTGAGGATACAAAATCACCAGGCTCAGAAGCTGAAGTGGTCAGCTTCCGAGCCTGCCAGAGCCCCAGGTGGTGTTAGGACTTGTGAATTTGGGGTCAGCATGGTCTACATAGTGAGTTCCAGGCAGCAGGAGCTTTACAGTGAGGTACTGTCTCAATAGAGAGAAAAAAAAAATAAAAAAACCCAACGTTATTCTAGTTTAGCTTTGAATTATTGTCAATTCCTCTCAGATTCTGACACTAGTAATTGTCTTGATGCTAAAGGTTTTTTTTTTTTTTTTTTTTTTTTTTTTTTTTTTTTTT